TGCGCTCCGCCGGCCCGCCAATAATCTAACCTCTCACGGAGCCTGCCTCTTGATGAATTTTAATGAAAATTCGTCGGGTAACATTTCCTTCCGCTTCTCCGGGACCCAGAGAGAATTTGCACTTAACGTTTTCATTTAGAACTGAAACTGCAGTACAAACAATCGAAGATGTTTCCATGTAATTAGTTTATGATTAGTTAAGATTCAATCCAACAGTGAAATTAGTTTTCTCCTTCTAGATCAGAGTTTACTTTCGTACTTCAGCATTTTGATGGAGGATAAACTCACTTGTTTGTTGGTTTCTTTCTTGATGCTTTGCCCATAGGCAGCAAGGCAGGCAGACCACCAAAAACACACATTTAGAGTAAGGGGACTATTAAACTGCTGTTTCAGGAAGATTGGTTTTGAGGAAAAAGGGAAGTTTGAGTCTTTTCTAACAGTGCACCCTGTTATAGGCTAAATGGTGGTCATTTGTTTTATGAGGTAAGAGGGCACTTTTAAGCGTTAAGCACCTTTGCACCTCTGATGCCCCTGTCAGGCTGGCCAGAACTAAGCCATTAGCTTGCTGAAATCCTCCGCAGAGATTTATCCCCACTTCCTACCTGCTGCCCAAGTAGAACATTACCTGTTGTGTAACCACATCTTTTCAGCAGCCTGGCCAGTGCCAACGCCATAAAAGGCATCTACCGTGCATGCTAATTCGACTTCATGCTAGGGACAGCACTCAGTTCTCTCTTAATTCATTCTGCACTCACTTCTCTTACCCCTGATCTCATTTGCCATCGTCAGAGCAGAACATTCAGTAAATCTCTGGGTCTGCCAAATGAAATCTGGCTGGTGGTTCTGTGGGTCCTCATGTTCTCTTATCTGATAAGACACCACTGATGCTTCAAATGAATATCTCCTCCTGTTTTTCCTCCCTCTGCGGCTTTGGCATGGGGCACAGCCTTGGGACCGTTTCAGAGTGAGGTGTGATATGAAATGCTTTCCCTGGCAAATCTGCAGATAAAGGTATCATTGTCTCTCTTTCACACACCGATTCCTGTGGTCAGCAAGACATTTCACAGCCTGCTGGGTGACCTGATGTGATGCCGGCATGGTTTACTGACAAATCGGAGACAGTCTTACCTTTCCCCTTTCTATAGTGAAAAAATGAAAATCAACACTAAGGGTTTTTTTTATGCTGCAGAAAGTACCAGCATTAAACTTGCATGGCTTTTTGCACACTGTCCCTCAGGTACCTGTTGAAGCCTCACAGGGCTGAGTACAAAATAAGTGTTTCCAATTGTATTTCTCTTTATGTTGTGAAATGAGACGAGTACTGGATCAAGATACGTTTAATACAAGGTGTCTTATATAAAATGTTCAAACGTGTGAATACAGCAGACCAAAAAATATCTATAGTCAAAGGCACATTTTTCTTCTTACTTTAAGTGTCACATTTTAGGCTCATATGACATTAATTTGACATACAGGAAGACAAGAACTCAGATTCTTGTTGTTTTGACTATAAATCAATAATAGGGCAAAGAGAATGAGAGAAGAATAAGGTAAAGTGCTTTTTGTTCAATAAAGAATATAAGCACTATGCAGGTACCTGTACAAGTTTGTTTGCAATCTATCTAGTCAGTTTTTAAATGAATACCACACAATCTAAAGACCCAAGAACTAATTTCTCCATAAAAGAACAGCACATTAGAGTATACTCTAATAATATAAGCCTGTTTACTTACAGCAAAACCTAAGTATTATAGAATTTTCAACTGGGTAAAAAAACCACAATTTCCCCACATACCTCTAGGAAACTGACATATTGATTTTCATCGAAGTCACAAGTATAGACAAACACAAGGTGCTTATGCTAGTAAAACACCCCATCTTTATTTAACACACCCATTAAACTTTCACAGTGCCAGTGGAGAAAGGAGTCTCCTTTGGCAGCAATAACCTTAAAAAATGTTTACAGAACTGCTTCAGCTCAGCCATAATCTTAGGATGTCAACAGCCCTCAGGAGGTCATTCCACAGCATCTCTGTTAGGTTAAAGTCTGAGCTCTAGGCCGCTCAAAAGGTGGATTTCCTTTGTTTTAAGTCATTCTGTAGTGGATGTACTTCAGTGTTTTGGTTCGTTATCCTGCTGCCTCACTCAACTTCTACTCGGACGGTCAACCTGACATTACGCTTCAAGATAACTTGATAAACTTGGGAATTCATTTTCCCTTCAATAATGGCAAGCAAAGCAGCCCCAAACCACGATGCTCCCTTTGATTTCTTTTTCTTGCCACTGTAATGTTCATAAGGGGTGCAACTTCCCCCTATTGCCACTAAAATATACATAAGTCTAAAATATTAATAAAACCAGTCAAAAGACCAAGAGTAAGGCTTACAGTATGGAGAAAACAGTACAAACCAAAACCACCAAGAGCGTGAAGAGAATCAACTCTGAAATAATTTATATGCACTGTTGAGTATAGACACCTCCTGAAGCTGCTTAAGTGGCAGTATGATGAATTGAACTATTGGGAGCAATGGTTATAGAAGATTTACAACAGTAGGTATAAAGTGATTTATAAAAAAAAAAAAAAAAGGTACACCCAGCTGAAATTTTTATCTCTGCGCAATAAAATGAGCAAGATCCCTGGAAATAAAATTAGAATCATGGTACAGAATACACTGCAGGAGGAGGACACTTATTAAGGGTCTCAAGTGTGATAAGTATGATCACAAACCCCCTTTGGTACATTATCACAGCGCAGGAAGAGTGACGACTTGGACAAGTCCCTAGTTTGTCTCCAGAGGTATGGAGGTGTCCGACATGTACACTTTATCTGTATTACTGTTTCCTATTAATAGCTTCTCCCCCGTGGGTGTATTTGTTTTTGTTATGTACATAAAGGATTAATATGGAGAATAGGATTAAACAGGCATCAGAAACCCAATTAAAGTAGCCCTTCATCTTTGCTGGTGGGGGCTGTGTCTCTCTTCCATGGTGTGAGCTCCCTTCTCTTGTTCACTTATCACCTTCTGCCCCATGTTTGTTCTGCACCTCCTTCTAACTTGCCCTCGGTCTCTGCATTTTAAATGTGCACACATCCTCTCATCATCCGTTTCTCTTACGTTTATCTACCCTGCTCCACCTATGAGGCAATAGGTGGAGCAGGGTGCCTTCGCCGCTTTTTCCCTGTAATCTTTTCCTCCCACTCCCTCACTCTACCTTTCATATTTTGCATCTCTTTGAGGTAGACAAAAAAATGAGCTTTTGCCCCCAAACACAGCCCACTCTATTAAAACACATCAATGTTTCATTCCTGAAACTAAACTGCAGTTACACTGGTAAAAGGCTGCAGCAGAACACAGTGGCGCAGCCGAGGGGTGAGCCAACAACAACTGCCAATTTGAGCAAGGGTGAGTGAGAGGGAGCAATCTGCATGTGTGTGTCTCATTGTGTGTGTGTCTGTATGTGTTAAAATGTAATCCTAAGTAATCTGGCAGTACAGACCAAGGTAGCACAGAGGCTGCTGAAATGCCAGGGATTTGTGGGTTAGTATTCCTGGCATAGCACTAACGGCACTAATATCACCTTTTAGCACAATGCTCACTAACAAGGAGCGAGACAAAAACACAGGAAGAGGTGAACAGATCAGCAGAAAGGGAAAAAAAAAAGAAAAGAAGAAAGACAAATAAGTGTAGCAAAAGCTGGAAACGGTTGTAGGGAGCATGAGAAGGTACGTGTGGAGCAGAGGGAATGTTTAGGGAAGATTTGGTGCTGGCACACACTGCGTCTTTAGAGTTAACGACATGAGTTCATTCCACTCAGTTTGCTCCCTCTGATGTACAAAGACACTGGTCTGTGGAGAGAGAGACTTATCTGGAAGCAACAGCAGCAGCCTGCATGTGCATGTGTGCATGTGTGCTTCTGTTTGTCAAGTGACTTTGTGTACTGTATGTGTGTGCACTGATATGTTTACAAGTTAAAAACATGAACATTTATAGTGTGATAAAATGTTTTACAGATGTTAAATAATTTTGTAATATGTTAATGTATAGGTAACTGAAAAACTGTGCATTATATTACAAAACATGGTCTTATATAATGCTTTTCTACTCATTGACACACACTCAAAGCCCTTTACACTATTTTCCAATTTGTGCACACAAACACACTGCTGACAGTCCTGGGAGTAACACGCGGTTTTGTGTCTTAACCAAGGACACTTTGACACGCGGGCTGGAGAAGCCGGGGATCAAACCGCCGACCCTACGGTTAGGGGACGACCCACTCCGCTTCCAGAGTCACAGCTGTGCCTTTATATATGTGTAAAATGTAAATTATGTTATTATTACTACTGTTGGTCACTTGGTTCACCACTTTGGTCCAGCCTGAAGTTATGACGCAGTGAAAGACTAATGGGAAATCACAGGAGCCCGTGTCTATGTCAAAGCCAACAACTGGTTTGGTCACTGATAGCCAAATGATAGGCTGGC